TCTCAAACACTTATACTTAATAAAAAAAAAAAAAAATCCTCAAACCAATATGCAACACATACCACTGATCATTAACTGTCGAACACATAGTGAAGGAGTGTACACAATTTACCTCAATACGTACCGACCTGATCATGTCATCCAACATAGTAAAAGTACTTAGCGAAAAACAAACTCTGAAAATTGTCACATTATTAAGTATCACAAATATTATATTATTAAATCTTAATTTACATTTAACTTCACCTTTATAATATTTCATATGTAATATTGTAATTTTAAATCTAACACCTAACACATCAAAATGTAACATCTATTAGCTAATAATATTTGCTGTTGAAGTATCAATTTTCAAAAAAAAAAAAAAAAAGAAAGGACAATCAAATGAAGTGATAGCCCGACTTAATTTATAAATCTCATTTACATTTCATATATCTATAAACTGCATTGTGTTAAATTGAGCTGAAGTGGAGGTATTTCGTGTGAATACAGTCCGGGACAAATATGGCACTCATTTCTTTTGTGTATCAAAACATACATTTTTCGGTATCATTACATGCATTTCTTTTTTGTATCATTACTTATACTAATAATTAAATGTTTCCTAAATACATAAAAAATATAAATTTTGATTCATTCAGTTATAAAAGCACTTCTAAAATGACATACATTAAACAATTTTAACTTTTTTATTTGGTTTTCATGGCTAACGAAATTTACATGGGTCACGAAAAATGTTTGGTAAGAAAAGTGGGTCGCAAGTCGAAAAAGGTTGAAAACCACTGGCTTAGAGGGATTATATTTAAGCATCACAAATTATTCGTCACAATTATATTAGTTTTAAAATTTTATTTTAGAATTATCAATTAAGCGCATAATTTTTAAAAACAGTTTACTCAAAAATCAGAGATTCATTTTTATTTAAAATTGAATAACAAAAAATTGTTAGGTTAGGTAGTATAAAATATTACATGTGATTCAAAGATAAATAAGCCACCACTGGATGCATTAATATTGGTGCACCGATTTACGGTTTAATTTTGATCTACGAGTGATCTTTGGAGATCTTTGTATATTTTCGTATAGATTATCAGTCCTTTGTTTTTGGGAACGAATTTTAAGAGTAGATGATAGTATTATAATTAAGGCTCGCATGTATATGTAAATACCTGTACATACTCGTATTTTTACTGTAACTAGATAATTTAATTTAGGCAAATTATAAATTTGTTTTAAATGATTTGTAATAAAAAGTGCCATACTTAATATTATTAATTATTACATATTTCGTTATATAAACATACTTTTACATATTTCTCATTCATTTATTTTTTTTTCCTAAATATTAACATCATTTTGATGAATTAAATTTAAAATTTTGTTAACTCTATAATGTTACCGTAATTTTCATTCAGCTGGTACTAATCTGTATTGAGACCAAATCGTATGGCATTTAACTTTGAAAATTTGAGTATATGTATGGTATATTATTGCAATCAAGATCCAGAATAAAGTTACATTTTAGTGAATAAGAGGTTTTTTTTAGTTTTAAATCTTTAAATTACAGTTATACTGAATATATACTGAATGGATTCAATTAAGAGGAGGATCTAATCAAAAACCTAATAAATGTATATTTATTTTGTCTATGTTAATCATGCAGTTTTTATTCGTGTTACTTGGTAAAATATTCATATAATTCATAATTGTTCTTAACAATCTTATTTTAATTTATTATATTAGACAGCCATTAAATGTACAAATATTATGTCAATAAACGAGTAATGCTTTGTCGATTTATTTATTTATTTTTATTATACAATTAGGATTTTGGACACCCCATGAAAATTGGAAAATTCAGCGCCCATTATCACATCGTTATCCCAACCGAGTACGTTAAACGTAATAATAATATTATGTTCACGTTATGGCGCTTTATCCACGCTGTGGAGTGAAAGCGAACGAACATGAATTCGGAGATACATATTTCAGGCGGGATGGCAGCAAGTTCTTGGGTCTATAGCCTTTTTCAGGTTTTCCACAGTTTTGGGGACGATATTGGTATACTAGGGTTTTCGATCTAGCCCTAGAGGCTCAAATCTGGTGAACACGGTGGCCACCAAATGTAACCATGTTAAGAGAAAATATGCCCAGGAAACTTTTCCCGCGGAATGCTAAGTGACCGGTGAGCTGTGTGTGCGGTTGCGCTATCTAGTTGAAACGACTACATTATCTTGCCCATGCTTGTTTAAATTCTTGTTTCAACAAGATGGTGCAACAGCTCATCGATCACTCGTATGAATAATGTTAATATGTATTTTAGATGAAGTAATTCTTATTGAAATTATTTTTGGGAGGTATAAAAATTAGCCTATTTCAAGTAAAATGTATTTTTTTTATCATTATGGGACAATAGTCATTGCTATTGTTATCCTTGTCTTGTATTGCTTACTTTCAGCATGTTAAAAACTGAATATTGTTTGAAATTATATACATTTTATTTAAAAAAAGTAATCGCTCATTGTATTAGGCAGTGAAACACGATTGCGCCCGTCCTACCTTTTTACCTGCAAAAAAACGCAAAAAGATTGTGCCTAGCAAATTAATTCGATAGCGCTCCGTGAAATATAAGGTCTTGTTTTTCTAACAATTTTCAAATATACTATTTAAAAATACAATCGTAATGTAAAACTCAAAGTTTAAGTCAGGTTAGATGATCATTTTAATAATTTTCTTTCCTAACAGGCTCATATCCTATAGGACTGACAACACGTATTTATTTATTTACATATTATAATACTATATGATAATCTGGTATTTTAGTAATTTTATTATTATTATTTGTTAAATTGTACGTGTACGAGTAGTAAGCACTCCATAATCGAGATAATATTTTATTATTAATTTATTTTATTCTCGTGTGAACAGTCAAATTGAACGCACGCGAAATATTATCTCTATCTCTTATGTTTAAATTAATCAACTCATTTCCATCGGATTTCTTCATGCTTTCTATTAATCAACTCAGTTTTTTATACTATACTTGGTCTCTACGTTTACCAGCAACCTACGAATTCATCTTCAAGAAAAAAAGTAATAACAAATATTTACTAATTACGTGCAGTATATCAATAAATATTCTTGGAAGCCCACCGAGAAGGCTAAAGTGGCGCTGGTGTCGTGACTTGTCTCTGTAAAAAATTAGTTAAAAAAAAAAAAAATACATGTAGATGTAAATATGTATATATAGATTTATGTATATGTAGATATATAGCTTAACAAATCCCTATTCACGTCTGAGTGTACTGCTGGGTAGTTTCTTCCTTCATACCCTCATGTTTTATAAAATATCTAACCATTCATATGTTTATTGTAAATATTATTATAGATTTATTCTAATAAATGCTAAAAAAGAAATTATTTTATCTGTAAATATCTGTGGTATGCATTATACTCAAATTTTACATTTGAACTTCAGTTGACTGTTGGTTGTTGTGACTTGAGTTGATATTTTTGTAAAGTTTTACGTAAAGTGTATCATTGTGAAATTAACAAATGTAAAAAATGGATTGAACTATTCAAAAAAAGTTTGATACTGAAAAAGGTAAGCCGTGTATTTTAATTATAGTTTTACACTCCAACTGTATTTTTAAATAGTATATTTGAAAATTGTTAGAAAGGCAAGACCTTATATTTCACGGAGCGCTATCGAGCTACTTTGCAGGGCGCAATCGTGTTGTGTTTTTTTCATGTAAAAAGGTAGGACGGGTGCAATCATGTTACAGCCTGTATTAGGTGGTACATGGAAATATTATTATAACATTTAATTACATATACATCATAGGTAATTGTTTTTATCTATTTTGACTGATAATAGTTATTAAATTATTTATAACCATATACAATTCATTAAATTTCATATAAATTGGTAGCGTTTAATGTATTAAAAAATCAAAAACTCCCGTAATAATAAACCAACTAGTGCGCCCTATTTATGGATTATAAATTAATGTAATTATGTGTAATAAATACTATTTATGTACATATTGTTTTTCTTTTATTTTAGTTATTATTACACATAATGAATTTGTACTGAAATAATTATGTTCATAATTATTGTGTTTTAGTTAAATAGTTTATCTAATGCTCATTAACTGAATAAAAAAATGATAAATTAACAAAAAAATTAAGCCTTATTTGCATGATTGTACCTACAAAACATAAATGAACATAATATACATTAAAGATATTTAGGTATTTGTACCGTCTAATCTGAATACAGATCGTGTGTTCGTATTATAATTATTTACAGTTTATAAACAAAAACCATACATTAACTATAATTATTATTAAATTTCAACTATGTTGCAAATATATGCTTGCTTTATAATCGAAGAAATAGTTATAATTCTAATATGTTCAGACTGTAATTTGTATCTTTGATGAAATTGTTTTTTTTTTATTCCATTAATTGGGTTTGAGTCAAAAATGATTTAGCTATGGTTTATCAATCAATCAATTAGTCAACACAATTTTCAACAAGGACCCTAACATTTTCATCTGTCAATAATTGTATAATTGTAACCGTGTACCTACGCATACCGTAGTAGTAGACATTATAGAATGAGAAAGTAAAGACAAAAATGACAATTGCCAACTAGACTAATTAACATGTAGATATATTAATTGTTGGCTAACTGTAAAGGTCGTGAAATCAAAGGTCTTCAAAAGACAACCGTGATTAAAGTCAAACTCGATCCGCCGAGACAGTGCCAAAGTGTCATTAAATCGAACTACATGTCTACATCGTCAGGGTGAAGAGTATGTTATTGTAGAGGTAAGTGTTAAAAACACAAAATTACATATATTCGTTGTGAAAATTGAAATCATTTGAAAAGGAACGGATTAGTAGGTAGGTAGAATGAGCTTTGCACGTTGATAAGAAACGCGCTTGCGCAACGCTGTAGGTGTATAATACAGACACGGTAGTATAACTTCCAACGGCCTATATGGTAATATTGAATTTTACGATTCGATTTTCACAATAGATATATTGAACGAAGGCTGACCGTAAGCAACGTGTAATTATCATGTTATAATGGCTAATGGTCGCAATAAAAATATGCCGTCTCGCGTCATTTGTTAAATAACAATAATTTTTTTTTTCTTTCGTAACAGTACATTGTAAAAAATTTCAACTCTAAAAGTCTATATCATTCGCGTGTTAATTTACTCACTCCGTACGTGCGCGTGTGTTACAATAATCCATCAAAGTATATATATATTTAATTATTATAATATTTTTAATAATACGTATAGTTCAACATGCGGGTCTTGATCATTTTCGCGTTGATTATTGAACACGTTTTTGGTATAAATCCGCTGATCAGTGTGCACCAGGGCCAGTTGAAAGGCAAACAATATTTGTCAAGAAGCGGACGGAATTTTTTCGCTTTCCAAGGTATACCGTACGCCAAACCACCGGTTGGAAATCTCCGGTTCGAGGTATAATAATATATAATAATATAATTAAGATATCGATGGTTCTTAATCATTTGTGGCACGTGGAAACCGTAAGAAATCATCTTTGAGTACACGGGACGCGCCGGGCTAAGAGGAAGAACTCATTATTTTAAGGACCAACGCGGTATAGTTAAGGTTATCGAGTGCAATGATTCTAATCGCCCCCTCTCGCGTGGAAATATGGTGGCATTTTACTACTGCATTCTTAATATAGTATTTGGTTTATCCAATAAATTCATAAAATATCAATTTATCCCGGTCTACCGAGTATTGCTCGATATCTCACCTGACCTATTCGGGCCCATTCAATAACTCATTTTTTCCTTATACATTTCAATAACAATCAAGTGTGGTTTTTGCGTGTTCATCATCATGGGCCGTAGACCATAGATTAATAACCATTGATATGTAATATAATAACAGTTACCTAGGTTTTAAGTAACGGTTTTTGTTTCATTCGCTCATGAAATCAGGCTCCTGAACCGGCCGGTCCCTGGAAAGGGACGCTGAACGCCACGTCCGAACCGTCCATGTGCATCCAAAAGAATCTGTTCATGTACCAGACATCCGACGTGCTACTCGGCAGCGAGGATTGTCTGTATTTGAACGTTTACACGCCCACGGTATGATTAATATTCGCATTATTATTTTAACTGCACTCGATGTTTGACACAGCTCACGAAAAATATCATAAATATTATACCTAACGTATACGCATCCCGAATACGTATAGCTGCCTAAAATAGGTGTAAAAAATTTACCCGTCATGGTGTGGATTCCCGGAGGAGGTTTCAGCTCGGGTCACGGTGGTATGCGGCTTTACGGTCCTAAGTACCTGATGGACAAGGACGTTGTTTTGGTCACAATTAATTACAGGATCGGCATTTTGGGTGAGAAAACGATATAGCTATATAATATTGTTACGAGTCGCCGGCAATAGAAATATTTTATCCCGTAATGTAATCTGGATTTAGGATTTTTGAGTGTTGAAGATGACGTCTTGCCGGGAAATTATGGTTTGAAAGACCAAGTCCTGGCATTGCGTTGGGTCCAAGAAAATATCGCCAATTTCGGGGGCGATAACAAACAGGTCACGTTGTTCGGAGAAAGTGCAGGTGGCGTGAGTGTAGGACTTCATTTATTATCGCCATTGAGTAAAGGTATTTATTTATTATTTATTTTATCAGTCTTCATTAATGAAATTACTATGACCGATGAATTGAAATATTTACATAAAATTGATAAACACTAGTAATAATACATTCGAGTATAAAGTATCTACATGGTATTTATTTTTTTATTATTACTCTATATCATGACTAAAGCAGGGATTCAAATGAAAACAAAGTGTTGTCGTCGTCAAATAAAATAAAACCATTGACATATTAATAAACTTTGCGTGTCTACGTTTTTAGGATTATTTCATAAAGCGATTTTACAAAGTGGTAGTCCTTTATGTTTGTGGGCTGTATTGTCACCGGGCTTAGCTAAACGACGGGCCCAAGCTGTCGCCACAATTTCAGGCTGTCCTTCCGAGTCAAAAGAAATGATTGATTGTTTAAGACGTTTACCAGCAGAAATATTTGTTCAGTTACAGAGGAATTTTTTCGTAAGTCATATATTATGTTTACTTCTGTTTTTCTGATTAAGTTATGTATATTTACTCACATAATCGTAGCTATAATTATTATACATAATCAGTGTTGTTTTTTTTTTGTGTTCTTTTAGGAATGGCAAATGCATCCGTCAGTCACTTTTGCGGCAGTCGTCGAAAAGTGTCGCAAAAATAAAAATTCATTTTTGTGCGATTATCCTATGAAATATTATAAGCAAGAATCACTCGTACCTACTATAATCGGACTGAATTCAGGGGAAGGTGGATTTTTCGTATCTCGTAAGTGAAATCGATTGTGGTATTTTTGTGGACGACTTTAACGTTGATATAAATCAGAATCGTATTTGGAATATGTTTGAAATGAGAATAATGCTATAAGGGTTAAATATTACATATATATCTTTTATATAAAATTCTCCCGTCACAGAGTTTGTTATTGAACTCCTCCGAAACGACTTGACCGATTATCATGACATTTTTTGGATAAATTTGGTAGGCCTGAGAATAGCTTTTAAACTCTTTTTTAAACCTCTAAGTGTTAAAGGTGGCCCACCCCAAATGTATAAATTATGTATCAATAAAAATATAGAAAAATATATGAAAAAAATAAATATATGGCAAAATAACGTTTGCTGGGTCAGTTAGTATACGGTGTGTCTCATCTTAAATGTGCGTATTATTTGTCTTCAAATTCATGCACGTATTACGTACATTGGCATTTTGATAATATTGATCAACAAATATAGTATTCATTATGTGAGTTGTTTTTATATCCTATAAAAATGTTACAAATATGAATCACTAGATATTAGGAGTAATTCACGTACGGTTAAAATTGGCATTAAAAACAATATTTTTTTTCGAAATTGTTTTTGTAAATCAAATAAATATTAACATTTAATAAATTTAAATCTAGTAATTAAAATATTTTTTTTTTTTACAGAATATTGAAAAAATATTTGTATTTTTGAGAAAATAAAAAATAATATATTTGGCATTTTTAAAGAATATTTAGAGAGTATATTACCTTTTTTAAACGACATAAAAACATCATATTTTTAGGATTTTAAGAGAATATAAATCCGACCTCTAGTTATGGACTACTTTTACAGAAAATAATTTTCAATAATTTTTCCATTTTAATAAACAATGTGCGTGGTGGTTGGTACAGACCTGGGTATTGTTCAGCATACATTTTTGTTGACTGACGATAATTTCTATTGTATCTACCATAAATTAAAAGAATTTGCAATTTTTTTTGGTTGTTCATTTTAACCTAATTACTCACACCATAACAGCCAAAACAAAAATGATTCATTTTAAATTTTAAAGTAAAAATTAATAATAAATTGTTTATCTACCTATAAACAATTAGAAATTAATAGGTAGGTATAATTTATCACTTATCGGAATTATACATCTAATAATAGAGAATATTCACGGGCAATCAATTTCTATTATTATTATTGTTACAACTTATGATTATCTAGTATTAAATTATCTGAATAACTATGCTAGTTAATATTATCTTATTCTTTTAAACCTCGATAACTTTATATTTTGTAAAATAACTGTTGTACCTAATTAATTTTTAGTAAATAATTTTATATCCATATTATGTTAGTTTTGTTTATAACACTTATAAAAAAATAAAAAGTAACCGGTGATAAATAATTATAAATAGTTTTATGCATTTTTAAGTATATATATATATATTTAAGTATTATTTATTAAAATTGAAATGGCTCTTATTCAGTCAATTTCGAATTTAGAACCATAATTGATCATCAAAATTACTCAAAAAAAATAGGCCTATCCAAATATAATGTTCGAAATTGGTGTTGCAATAAAAAAAAAAAACATTTTTACTTCGTATGCGTTGACCGAAATGTTAAAATTTTTTAAATATATCTATAAGTGTGTATTTATATACCACCAGATAGTAAAAAAAAAATCAATTTATTCCAATATAATCCGGCCGGAAAATTCAGTATTCTTTAAATTGATGATTGTCACTCCCCGAGAACACGATATATTGGCTTAAAAAGATAGTATTAACACATTAATGTTAACACGCATCTTTCGGGGGATCTGTATTTTCAGGTTTGTACAACGAAAGCGGTCTGATCTATCCAGATGTGAAAGACAACTTCAAAAGAGTGATGCCTGTAATGCTGCAATATCACTTTACGGCTTCGTACAAGGACGTCGACATTATCAGCGACAGTCTGAAAGAGCATTACTTCCCGGAGGGCACGTCGATAGAAGAAAATCCGATGAAAATGGTCGATGTAAGTACGGACTTGTGGACAATTTTGCGACACCGACACTCGTTGTGGATCAATGGTTTGTTGTTTTTCGTTTTTCAGATGGTCACTGGTGGTATATTTATGAAAGGAGTCATCGACATGGCTCGAAACATAATGTCACCCGTGTACTTCTACGTGTACGATTATGTGAACAAGAACTCGCTGAACTCGTTCTTCGGACCGTGTACAAAACATTTAGGCGTTACACACGGCGATGAAATGACCAACCTATTTGATTTCGTAGGAATGCGGTTAAACGAACACGACAGAAATGTTTCCAGGCTTATGGTGGATATATGGACGAATTTCGCTAGCTCCGTGTACGGTTGACTTTGGTGTTAGGTTATTGATGATTTTCTGTGCATGCATAATTTTATCTTTATTTTATATATACGATTTGAGATTTTCATAACTGACCGAGTGTACATTTTGGATGAGAGTTAAAAATAATTTAAGTTAAACGAAAATATTAAAAATATGACAATTCGTTGTTTTTAGTTTTTACTAATCTGCAACCATTTAAATTTCATTAATTTGAATTAAATAACTATCAAATAAATAATAGCAAATTCAATTTTTTATTGAACCATTATATTATTACAAATTGTAATTAACAATTTTAAACTTTGATCTTCTTACGCTATAAGAACTTATACTATTTTACTGGTAACCGCTTCACTTTAATGATTAATACAAATCATCTTTTTATTTTATTTATTTTAAATCATAACATAACGACTCTTTGAATTAAACGTAAGATTACTTATTGTTTTTTTCTTTATTGTTTTTAGGAAGGTGACTATAGACGGAACAAGTACGGGAGTTCTGTGGCCAAGATATAACAAAGACGAAATGGAATATTTATTGATTAAATCAGCTACACCAATACTATCCAAGAAACCGTTCCTGGATGAGTATAAATTTTGGAGTGAACTGCCGCTGATGTCTAACGTCAATATTCGGAAACTTTCCAAAACAGAACTATGATTGAGCAAACGTTGACATTTTAAAGTACATTTTACTATAATCATCGAATCGCGTTTGTGTTTATAAATCGGTTAAGTTTTTAAAAGTGTTTTAAGTTTAAATTATTTTTAACAATAATAAATACAATAAACCTATGTTAACGAATAGTAATAGCAATAGCATGGACTTCGGAAGTACAATTGTTAAAAACCGATTCTCTCTTTTCGTCTAAAAATATAAAATGAAGTCAATATAATTGATCTTATAAAACTATTTTCAGGTATACTAATTATTACAATATCAAATTTTTTTTTTTTTATATTTTCGAAATAAAACGAATATTTTTATAATAAAATAAATTATTATATTAATAATAATAATTATTTTTTTATTTATAATAATTATACTCTGGAAAAGCAGCGGCTTAGCACATTATTTGATAAAATAAAATGTAGATGATCAACGGAATTAAAAATAATTACGATTGGGGTTTTTTTTTTTAATTTAATAACCACGACGAGTTTTTTAGTATGTACAATAAATTTGTATCTGACTCCATAACACTTCGGAACACTTTGAACGTATACAAAAATTTAGTGGCGTTCAACACATTGTTAAAGAAGGGTGTTTATACTTTAAAATTTTGATCGGAGGGAGATGTAAGATTTCCATCTGTTAGATAATGCATAGATCCCATCCGCTTTAAAAGTGTGTTTGAAATTAAACATTGTAAGCTGGGGTTAGTTGTCACAGCGACAGTGCAAGTATATAGGTTTCTCATTCGTAACTGATAAAACCCGATTGAAACTGTAAAACTGCGATTGCGTTATTACACGTTTTATTCAAAATTATACTTCACCATTAATTTAATACATAGTTTATAGTATATTTATCAATGATTATACTTATAAGTTGTGCATTATGGGCAGAATATCAATCAAATAATGATAGTACTTATAATATTAGCAATCACTGTGATTTTTTGTTGTTTATTTATTTATTTCACGCACATTTATTGCGTAACCGGAATAGTCAAGAGGGAAATATTTTCTAAAAATAATACGCGTAAGAAAATAACAATTTTACTTCACGAGTGATTTATGTTTTTGCTAAAAAAAAAAAAAAAAATTAATAAAAGGTAGGCACTCTGTTCAGTTGTGAAATTTTATTCGAATGTAAATATTGTGGAGCGTATACTATTATTTAATTTAATTTAAAAGTTTATAAATAATATACACTTGTATATTTAGAATTTTGTTTATTGAATAATGTGTTAGTATTTCATTTTTATTTTTCGCCGAGAATCGTAATTTATAACGACAAATTATTAATGAATTTAAATAAATATTACAGGTATATAAACCGTTTACGTTAATAAAGATTAATCAAATAATAATAAACAATGTATTGTGTATACGATATATTGTATTTATGGAATTTGTGCTGATGTAATAAATACAATTATGATAGTTAATGGTAACGAGTGTAAAATAATTGTAGAGCTAAGGAGTAAACGATAAGTTAATATTTCTAAGCTGTTTAGTATTGCAGTTTTAAAGTTTCAGAACTCAAAAAACTAAATAATAGTATATAAATAAAGTACGAAATAATTTAAAAAAATGTTTTATGATAATACAACTAATATTTTATGAAATTAATAAAAAAAATTACATTTATTTTTTAAAACAAATTACATGATAGAATTACCAGATTTTTTTTGACTGTTATCGTTTTTCGCCGTAGCTCTTTATTTATTAATCATGACACAATGCAATAAATATCGATTAGAAAATAATCATTTGAGTATTGTTCGTTAGAAATGAAATATGGATAAATAAGATTGGTAGTATATTCTTAGATATATTTTGATTTTTATATTTGGCTGCTATAATAGCGAAGAAGGTGAAAATGTTAATGGAATTTAATACGAGTACTATAAATAAAGTAAATTTATTATTTTCTACGGTATTTTTTTCTAGCAATTTTTTTTTTTTTTTTTAATTGTTTACTCTATAAATTTTAAATGTTCAAAAGCGTTTTGTATTTTTTCAAAAGACGTTTAAAGTCTTATGACATAATATATTTTTTAAACGTACTCCACAATAGCACTTTTATTCACAGTAAACCGGATCTACGTGAAAATCAAAATTAAACGTGTTTGTGCCAAAATGTTCAATTACCCGATGAGCTAAAATGCAGTGTGTCTCCTATGTTTTTGCCAAAAATCCTATCATTTAGCTACAAATAACTGAAGAATGCGCGTTTAAATATCCGAGCGTTCGCAGTCGCAGACAAATTAGACTTTTGGATTAAACCTTCTACGATACGAACTCCTCGTCGTCGTAGAAAAAAAAAACGTGCATCAACAACAGCAGTACGAATCGCCGATACCACATTGTCGTTGAAATGTCGCATGTAACCAAAACCACGTGCAACTTACGATCACTTGTAAGTATGTAACACTATTATAGACCATACATCGCGTACAGGTTTTCATAACTCAAAACGGTTCCGGACGAGTCCTTGAAGTACGAAATAATTTTTTTCCCCTTTCTCTCCACTCCCGGTACCACGTGTGTCCGGACGTGTACACTCGTGTGCACGTGCGTATAAATAAATATACGTTTTCGCTACTGTCCCGTGCGGACCGCGGTGGCAGGGTCGGCCTGGAACGGGGGTACACGCGGTCGCGCGGTTCGAGTCGGAGCACTAGGCGCGCGCAACGCGGACCGGCTGCACCGCGGTCAAGAGGATCCGTCGCGCGCGTGTGGGTCGTGCCGGCGCGAGTCGGGTTTCGTCAGGTTTCGTGACGTTCGCGAAAAAAAAAAAAAAAAAAGAAACATCACAAACCACGTGGGTTCTCTCGGCTCGCCGGTGACGATTTTGCGCGGAATTTCTTGGCAGCCCGTTTCTGTTTAAATACGTCAATTCCGTCAGTCGAACGTTCACACAGCGCCGGTGCACCGGCACGCTATAGGTGTACGCGCGTGCACGGGAAGTTCGCGTTTTCCGCGGCACACCATGTCTTTCCTCGACATCGTTTCCAAGTTCAACCAGCAGGCCACCAGCCATTCGCAGTCGCAGTCGCTGAACCCGTTTTCCGAACGGTTCGAACAGTCGCGGTCGCCGTCGCCTAGGTTTTCCCGCGAGGAGTACGGAAAGTGAGTAGTCAATTAGAGCCCGTTCGCGACGGCCGTATTGTTGTACCGAGTGATTTTTTTTTTTTTTATCCCCGTAGGCCTATCGCGGGTTCTAAAACCGATCTGAGAGGACGGAAAGCAAAAACGCACATCTGCCGGGAGATCCTGGAACTGTGCACGGTCATACACGACGTCGGCACGTATAAAGCGAAAAAGAGAGACCCCGACGATTCCGACGACGAGCAGGACGACGGCACGATCATCGTCAGTTTCGGCGAGCTTTTCCAAGTGAGTGGAGGGGTGTTTTTTTTTGTTCGAAATATTTCGACATACCGACTCGATTCGTTCGACGCTTAGATCAATAACGGGCTGCTGGTACTGGTTTTACAACACGAAACACGCGGAGCCTGCCCACGACCGATTTAACAATACAGGGTTAATGAGAACGATAAATTCCGTTTGGTTTTGATATTAGTCTTTTGTTTTCCGTTTCAGATTTACACGAAAATATCGGACAAAGTGGTGGGTTTGTTGATAGCTGCTAAACGACGTGGTTTTGTGTACTTTGATCGGGAAATACTTTTTCAGGTAAGATCTTTATATACGGTGAAACGACGGCGCGCGAATAAATTTAATTTGCGTGATCATTTTTGTGAATGAAATTCGAAAAAAATAAATATAAAACAAAAAAATAAAGTAAATGGGATTCGATCGTAAATTCTTTCAAACGGCCGTGTCCACCTTGAATACAGAAATAGATCGATGGCCGGTGATGATTAAGCCGGAGTGTCCCCTGGCACATGGCCACCGGCATTCCTCGACAAAACAAAATAAATGCGGATTCCGCTGTATAGTACCAATGTCAGTAATCGTTTACAAATTATAATACAAGTGCAATAAATCTCCACGCGATTCCGACCTACATAAGTCCATGTGGTCATACACTTGAATTTTGCAATCCGTCTTGGGCAGGAATATATTATTATAATGCATGTTGTTTTTAATTTTTTTTTTTTTTGACATTTTATTGTCGTTCAGCAATATGAAAACCGGGACATGTTTTGGCAACGTTTAGTGAAATTAAGGTTCCGAATCTACGCATATGCTATTTTATTTTTTCATTCGTCCCTTCCTGTTGTTCACGACGTAGGTGAAAAACCCTTTTTTGACAAAGTTCATCTATCGCGTGCGTGCCAGGAATTTCATTTGGCTTTCGGCCCAAATTAAATTTTATAACCGACGATATTGTGATACGTTTTATTTCCGCTAAACGAAAAATTGCTAAACAAATGATTCGTGAAAATGCCAATTCCATTTGCGCTGACTCATATTGTTTTTCAAACCACGCACTCAGTGTTTCGTAATCGCTCGAATATGCGATTCGTGTCGATTGTATACTTAACGCAACGTAAATTGTTCTTTTATTTTTTTTTCTATTATTTGATCATATTGAAAATCCGTTGATACAATGCTAACACAGTTATATTGATTAAAATATCAGTTACAATACATTTTTGTTTTACCGTGAATTAACGAGTGGCTAATTTTTTCTTGTAAATGATTTTTTTCAATTTACAGAGAAGAGATGACGACGTACTGATCGCTCTGATGAAACCCATTGAAGAAATCAGTAAAATATTAAAAGATGATATAAACCAAACTAATCAGACAACTGCAAAAGTCGAACCAAAACCAGTGATTGGAAAGACTAAATCCAATAAAACGAAATGCACTAAATCCGCAAACAGTATAAATCCAAATGATACCATGACCGATTGTACAGTGCCCATTGACCAAGCAGATGTAGTTTTGCCGACGACATTGGACGTAAACGACGAAGAAGTGGTGGAGAAAACCGGAAACGAAGGACTGGACGACAGTGATCAGAGTACGAGTTGTTGTAACGCAGAAGTCAATGGATTGCCGGAAGATAACGAACAGAGCTGCACGAGTCCATTTGTTGAGGAAGTAAACGGCGATGAACTGTTAGTGACAGATAAAGAATTAAATGTCGACGTCGACGCAGAAGTGTCTAAAGACGAAATCGTTGAAGTGTCCAAGAGTATAAAGGACAAAACCGAAACGAAAGTATTGAACGAGTCAAACGGTAACATTACGGAGAGCGAAAGTGGAATCAATGAATCGATTGAAGTGGACGACGTAATCGTTCGAGAGGAAATCGAAAACAAAAAACGAACCGAAGTAGACGTAAGCCCTTCGATAAGCGATAGAATAGAGATACCGGAAGAAAGCGAAGAAATGAGGAATAATAGTGATGGTGAAAATATCGGCGAGGTAACGGAACACGATGTTGCACTATTACCTCTGAACGAAAACTAATGGTATTCATTCGGGAATTGACAATTTTCTCAACAAACTATTCCATAAATAAGTTAGAGTTAAAATAAAATAAAACAAATTCAATATACTAGAAACGTGAAAACTGTGGCCACTGGAACAGCGATTAGATCATACGATAAGATAATTTCATTTTATTTTATTTTTTTAAAACGTGTTTGAATTTAAATTTCAATCAAATCGGGTAACTGTTAACATACTAGAGACATTGACCTATATTTTGGAGAGTTGTACAACCGGGATTAGTATAAAATAATTTATTGATTCTAATTTAATAATTATTTTTAAATTATATGTTTGACATATTGTTTTATAATATATATTGAAAAAAAATATTTAATGAATTTTCAAGGATAATACCATTTTAATATTATTCATTTAATTTGCATGCAAATAAATTAAGTTAATGTTATATTTGGTTGTGATAAATTATACACTCAAGTTGTATTATTATATATTTTTTTTTTTTTTTTATAAAGGGAAATGTTATTGTTTTTATTATAGTCGTTAAATTATTAGTTCAAGATTAATATTATATAATAGATATTTACATTATTTGTCATTTGTTGATACTGTATTTTTATAATAGTAACAAACGGGTAATATAATATAACAAATACATGTGGAGCGAATATTAGGATAATGATTATATAGTGCTTCCAAATGAGTTACCTATAATGTTAATTTTTTAATATTTTTAAAGTTAAAAATTCTTTTAATATTTATGTATAACTAGGAAACGTATTTGGGAAATAATTAATTTTTAATATTATTTTAATTTAATATTATTTATCAATTTTTTTTTTTAATTTTGAAAAATATTTCAAATGTGTTCAACAGATATATAGCATGGTGTTCCTTTAATATGTCATTATACAGTTGAATTCGTTTAAAACGAGAAAAATTAAAAATACTATAATAATTAAGTGTAATTTATGTGATTAGAAAAAACAGTTTTTATTTCTTTATTTATTATCTGACCGATATAATATATTCAAGGAATTAAAATATATAAATAACCCCAGTGGAAGACGTGGTAATGGTATTGCAACATGAGTATTACATTTTTATTTATAGTACTTTAATTAAATGTGTTCATTTATATTAATAAACGATTTTTAATATTAATTAATTTTAAAAATAATATAGATAAACGTAAAAACAATATATTTATTGTACGGAAAGAAATTGTGCTTGGCGAGTATAATAAATTATTAATGAATATTTAAAATGTGTGCACGCCATTGTCTTATTTATTTTTTCATCACCACACCGTTATCTATTCTATGCTAATGGTCATCTAAGGTACATATGGTCACACGATGCGTTTGTTAATACGTTACGTGTTTACGATCGTTTTTTTGTGTCCACATGTTCCCGAAACGGTATTCGTCGGCGTCGACGACGATTCAACAACGTTCCGCTAACGTGTAGGCATTTCAGTCGAGCGCTAATATAATTTTTTATTGACTTCGACCGTACGGGTGCATGCGCCCAATCTTATTGTTACATATTATTTTCCGTATACAAACCGTCCGATATTTTTTCAACGAAAACGCCACTGAAAACCAACAAATACTTCAACATCTCGTGTGCACCGGTTTTCTTGTTTTTCCTATCGACAAAACGACGTTAAAAACAAAGCCGAATTCGAACACATTTGCAAATCAATTCGCGGTACACCAAGTCCATCGCGACTGAGTACTGTTCGGACAACAATTATAATAATACTAATAATAAATATACACGCACGGACGAACAGAAACGATTCCAAAGACGAGAATAAACTTTATAGGTGTATAAATATATTTGTAGTTTTTATTTTTATTTCATTCAACAATTAAGTCGAAACGAGACAAATAAATAATTTTTATATAATCGGCTATGACCGAGAGATAATAAATAATAATGTATAATCAATAATTTATGCGAGCGCCGATGCCGCGCGTTCGGTGCGGTCGTTAGTACTTGGTGGCGGACAAGCTGGACGACGTACCGGACGAGGAGGACGGCAGGTAACTGTTGTAGGCCATGGAGTGTGCGGCGTCGGACGAGTGGCCGGAAGATGACGAGTAGGACGTGGCGGGCTCCCAGGAGGACTCGCCGCCGTAGCCGCCAGACGACTGCGGTGGCCCGTACATGTGCGGCGGACTAGCCGTGGTCGAGGGATCGGGGCCCGGCATGCCGGGCAGGTGGATGGGCAGCAAACTCGGGAGGCCGGACTTCTTCATGAATTCCTTGAGGAGGAAGCCGAGCACCAGCATGATGGCCACCTTGCTGAGAATCAGCGCCTTGGTAGCCTTCATGCTGACCAGCGCCATCATGATGGGCGTAAGCATCTTGAGCTTCAACTTCATCATCATCATGAGCGGCATAAGCATCTTGTCCTGCATCATGCCCATCTCCATGTCCGCTACAAACGGTATAAACGCAAGTTTCAGTTGGGACTGTTTGAGCTTGGCTATCGACTGGCCGAATTTAATTACAGATCCGATGACCTGCAGAAACGAGATGATATGTAAAATGTTCAAACCTCTAGCCGTGGTCGTGGTGGTCGGCTGCTGCATCTGCATTTGCTGCATCTGCTGCATCTGCTGCTGCTGCTGCGATTGTCCGCTCATCATCGCGCCGTCGTCCATCGCTCGGCCGGTGTCCAACACCTGATGTTCCACGTACGCACCGGTCGCCTTCACCAGCTCCGTGTCCAGCTCCGAATCCGGTACGCTTTTGGCCGCGCGGCCACCGCCGCCAGCTCCCAGGAACTCAAGCACGGTGCTCTTCAGGCAGTTGACCGCGCCGGGTCCGTACGAACACCGGTCCAGCACCCGGTCCAGCAGTTGTCCGCCGTCGGCGTCGGCACCACCACCGGCAGCGGCGACGGCCGCCACCGACGCTACGGCCACTGCGGCGCACAATAGAGACACGGACACTGTTCTGCGGTACATCGTAAACGACTGTGCGGCCACGCCTCCCCGTCCCGGTGTTATATACCCACGGCAATGGCCCACTGCCCAACATCGGCCGCGGTCACGTGACGTCGTCCCGGTGCGGGTGGCGCGTGACACCACGCTAATTTCTCCATTACGGGCCGTCCGCGGAATACTAATGCGCACTCGGACCGGCGGCGGCGCGCGTACCTACGGATGTCGCGTATGCGGTACGCGCGCGAGCACACGTTTTCGGCAGCGTCCACCGGGTACGTGTCCGCCGGCTCCGTAGGATGTTCGAAGTGAAAACGCGCGCGCCCATCGGACTACTAATGCCCGTCGGGGCGAAAACGGCAGGCGGTCGACAATAGGAACGGATAGTTTTTCCCCGTTCACCCGGGTCCTTAACCACCTCCCCCCGGACACTCGAATCGGTATTTGTAATACCGTTTTACCCTCGCCATGTCTTCCGTTCGCACCCGGTTCGTTTGGTCCTGCGATAGCGGATGGCCGTGAACATTTTTTTGATTCGTAAACCCGCGCTGTTCATGTTCGGCTAAACGTGTTCGACGAACTGCTTGACGAACTGTTCGCCGACCACCGAAATCGTGCGTTCGCGTGTTTCCCGGAAAACAGTAAACGCCGAAGCAGCCACCGAACGTACACCATCTGTTCATGTCGTTTCAGACGGCTAGCGTTGACGGTATACTCGTATTTTTTCGCACGCTCATCACCTGAAATTCTAGCCGAAACGTATCGGGATGATTCGCTTGCAACATCGTTCCGTGGGTTATTTTTCAACATTTTACTTGAATGGGTGTTTTTTTTTTTCTAAAGATTTCAATATGTTCGCATAACATACCTTGATGTTACGTCAAACTACCGACGATTTGCGGATCGTCGATTTGTTCGTTAATATATTTTACGTTCGCACTGTTATCTGGTACACAATGTTGGCCAGCCTAATCCATATCGCGCAAAACATCCTATTATACATTTCAATTTAGTGTATTTTTAATTAAATTTTCAATTTAATTAATATTAAATTTTTAATTTTTTAATTTAATGTATCATAAGTTCTTGTCGTTTCGCTATTCATTAGTCCAGCGAAATCATTTATCAAACGCCCGAAACGCACCATGTCAACCGATTGCAGGTCATGAGACACCCTATCGTACGTCGCCACTGCTTGTACCGACTTTTGGTTGCTGTGTCTCGCCTATTCGAAAACGTCGACGGTGAGGTGTTTTTGGTTGGCGAACGGGTAATAGACGGGGATAAAAAAAATCCTATTATTATCCATATCACAACCCTTGTGATGCCCATTATTTCTACGGAACTAAGGCGCTCGTAACATTTTTTCAATGAATTTTATTTCAAATTCACAAGTAGAACAATAGTTGTGATTAGATTTAAAATACGCTATGATTTTATGTTCGCTATTTTTCCAAAGTCTTTTTGCAGTGGCATATACACCATATCCATCGTTTTTGCTTTTGTCCACTGTGAATACAATAATTTTTAAGTGTTACTTGCGAACTTGAAAATCAGGAGCGATCTATGTATGGTCAAATATTAAAAAAACCAAACGTTTACATATGCATACCACGTGTTGCTCTTTCAAATAGCGTAGGAACTCGAACTACCGTGATGATTTTCTTATTGCTAACATGTCTTTGCGGGCGCGTAAATTTCGTTTAACTTTATGCATTCATATGTACCGCGTTTTCCATATTTAACACTTGTCCGATTCACCTCATTTTGTAAAACATTATAACCATATACTATAACACAACTGTTAATTACGGAAATAATAACGATGTTGTACAGTATCGATAAACATGTGGTACGTGATAAATGATGTACCTATGTTGATGCAAATAGTACATACGAACGCGGACTGATATTTTAATAAATGTTTCAGTAACTTTAATAACTATCAACTGTACGTATACATTTCGAAGAAAAACGATCGTACTACGCGCTAAACCGACCAGAAGAATGTTAAAAATGTTTAAAACCCGGATACAGTTAACGTAAAAATGTGATTAAATTGTATAACTAAGAAATTGTATCCTGGTAAGTAGTTAAACGTCTTGAGTCGATTCAATGTTAATATCCGAATCCTATAATTATGTAAGTACTATATTATACTGTGATTTATATTTTACCATGGCGGAATATTTAGTTTTCACTGAAATGCGATAGAGCGTATTGTAATAAGACATTCGAAACACTCTCTTCAGAAGAAAAATAGTCCGGAAAGATTTCGTGTTCGACTGGCAAACGTAGTCTACGAATGCCAATGCGTTTTCACGGTTTTGAGGCTGACCGTTCGGTGGACTTGAAAAATCGACTTTTGGACGTCTACCAACGATACACGCGATGTCTTATCGTACTCAGCCCGTTTTACATTACGTATCATTATCATATTACAATATATTAGATTAGGGGTCGAATTTTTACGCAAAATGAATGTAGTACAAAGTACTAAAACAATTTTATGTAGTCGCGTTCAATATTTGTATTTTAACTATTCCGAATTTATTATAAATTTTAAAACGAAAACCTCATATATTTCAATTTCACATCATACCAGGTCCTGTAGATTGTTTGTATTTTAATAAAAAAATTTATGAGCATAAATAATTGATAATATATTAAAATATAGTCTATATAGGTTAGTGAATTTTAATTATAATCAATCACGTATAATAAATAAAATTTAATAATGACATTTTGTATGAACTAATTTTTTCGCATATTTAATCAAATTACTTTTATAAAATATTTGTAAATATAATATGCTTTTTCTTATCTAAGCTACGGATAGTTTACTACAAGGTCGTGTTTTTTTTCTAAAAATATATAATTAAATACGCATCATAATTCATAATAATAAGTCATTGAACTTCCTCAAATCCTAGTCGTCAATCTACAATTTATCTATTGTACATTCATACATATAACTCGGAGTAGAATAAATTGTTGTACCGTATAAAATAATAAAATTTTACGCACAAAATTCATTAAATTATCTTTAATTCTCATATTGTAAAAATATTTTAATTCGTTATGAAGTTGTATACTAGATATAATGAAAAATGTTCATTGATAAAATTTGATATTCTAATGTAACATTATTTTCAATTGTATAAATCGTATCGAATACTTCAATTTTCTTTGAACTAACTAGTTACCGAAAAAAATACAGTTAACATACAAAACGTTTATCAAATAACTTTGATAGTGATAAACTATAGATGAACATTAATTATGTATCTAATAATATGGAATTGTATCAAAGAACCATAATTGAAACCCAAGTTAATTGTAAACTATATGTTAAATATTTGTTCAATTTAACATCTCCGTCAAATAAATCGAATCCAAAATCATAAGAATACTATATAAACCACATTATAGTGAAACGAATACAAGAATAGTAAGTTTAAACTAAATAAAGAATTAGTACAAGGTAAGTGTTTTAAAAATAAAATGTAGACATAGATATAAGTAAACAGCGTATATTTGTTTTGTCGTATAAAAACGTAAAAGTAAAACATAAAATAGTTATATAACTGTAATGGTCTTTTGTTATATTCACTATTATAATAATATTTTAATATATGCCCGAAACGTACAATTGTACGTTTTTGTACGTAATTGTATATTTAATGCTACGACTAGTTAGTGGATGCATTTGTCTTATTTTCATTTACACAAAGTTATGTAGGTAATTTAGATAATTATTTGTTACCTATAAAAATATAAATATTTTTATTATAGACATGTTTAGTTAAATACCGGATAAAATTGACCTTTAGTTTCGGCAGATTGTTACTTTCAGATGCAATTATTGCAAGTTAAGTGTAAAAATGATATAAAAACTGTACAAAGTTTACTTAACGGTTTAAAATCATAGGTTATCGTTTGAATTATTAGTAACACACATTTTCCCTTTTAATTAGCAAAACAATAATAACTAAAGATTCGATTGATTTTAATAATTGTTAAAAATAATGAATAATAATCATTTTTCTCCAAGGTTACTTCTTTTTTATTTAAATTTTTTTAGAAATACCTAAGTTAGTTTTCACATCAAATTAGATAAACGCTGTTGTTATTTATGCATAATATATCATTTACATTTAAATCATTTCGTAATAAACTATCGGAAAAAAGAAATTAATTCCATAAATGTTACTTTATCGAATGTAATATTTAAATCAATATATAAATCAATTAACAAATAGTTTATTTATAGAAATAAATAAATAAATCAACAAATTAATATTTTGCCTGCAATTTGGAATGAAGTACGTCCGTTTCCGAACTATAAATTTATCGTCAGGTAAATACAAAGTTAACAAAATAGTGACCCAATATGAAAAAATAAAGGAAGGAATACATTAAAATATTGTAAAAAATATTAAATAATATTAAAATATTATTTTTTCAGTCCCGGTTTTATTAACTTTGTGTATACCTGACAATGGATTTTTAATTCAAAACCGGACCTACCCTTTACATACGGTAATAATACTTCAAACTAAGTATTAATTTGTTTATTTATATACACCTAAACTAATTGGGTTATTTATTTATATATTGATTTACGAGTATTAACCATGTACTAATTATTCATTTTTATTTAATTTAATTTTAACAAATTTTAGTTTTATTTTGAACTAGTTTTAGTATTAAATATTTATATAAGGGAAACATTTTTATAGATACAGAAAATAAACGGTTTACATACCATGACCTTAATGTAATTAATACAATAAAATTAAGAAATCTCGAATCCTAGTATTTTTTTTTTTCAAAAGAATTTTATATCTGTAATTATTATTTTTCTACGATTGAAAATATCTTTATAAATGCATTCGATTTTATGTAAAAATATTATAGTTTGTCGAATGTATCTATTATTTTGTATTGAGATAAGTAAAGTTAAAACAAGAGTCTAATGGTAGGTTTGGTAATACATTTTGATTATGTAAGTTATTCGTTTATTCAAATTTTGAATGGAATAACGTATGGCATGTTAAACAAAAATGTTGTTTTTTTTTTTTTTTACAAACTGATTTCATATTACATTTTTTTCGCATTTAATTAAACTAATGTAATGTGGAGATTTATTTAATTATTTCAAGAATCATAGTTCCTGTTATATTGATGAATCATAAATTATTATTATTATTAATATCATAAATTCATCACTATAATATTGTCACACATCAAATCAAAACATTTGCACGTACATCATAAGTAGGTAAGTATAAATATAGCCCATTATTAATATGCCCAACATCATACAGTATCTACGAGCTGAACAAACAAATCAGTTTCATGATATTATAGTCATGGTACAATATACTATATTCGTAAATGTTAGTTTTACTACACTTTTTTTACAGCATATTTGTCAAAATGAAATTATAAATTTATTTAAAATCAATAATATAACAAGGAACAATATTTATATAACTATCATTTATTACGCATATTGAGTTTTCTAAAATAATAATAATTAAAAAAACCATACAATTTTAGACGATTTGCATAAAATACAATAAAAATTCACGAATAAACAGTGTCAAATTTAATTAGAGGACACCAGGACTGGAGCCATACGGAAAGGAATCGGAAACCTATCAATATTGAAAATCGATAAATTATTTATACATAACGACTGATTATAATGTATTAGGAATCGTAAAGAAAATAATATTATATAAATAAATTAACCAGTATGAAATCCTGTGAAAATGAAACAGAATTTTCTATGTAGTACTTACTGAAAACCCCAAACGCAAATTTGACATTAAACAAATATAGCATGCGTTAACGAAAAAAAAAAAGATTGGTGTATATTTTAAAAATTTAAATGCTGAATATTGATACAATTAAGAAGTGGTAATTCAAAAATGATGCACAGCAATCGATATATAAACTATAAAAAACATATATGGTTGTTTGAAGCAGGATTTTTCATTAAATGACAGTAATGAGTAACTTTTTTTATTTATTTAGTCTTCTCCTTAGTCCAAAGTTATTGGTTGTATTTTTTAAAGAATTAAAACAATAAATTTTTTTTATTTAAGTATAATACTAACACTTTAAACGAATTTTTTATTTCATAAGAATTGAAAAGAAATCAAAACTTAAATTTTTGTTATTTTCAAAATCGAAACTTAATTTTTATGATTTTTTAAATTTGAAGTATAATTATACTCTTATAATACAATTAAATAAATAAGAATATGTTTATTTACAGTTCAGTTGTAAGAAGACGTACAAGAAGTCCGCAATAAAAATGTCAGAAATATAAGGAAAAATAATGCTTGTAAAATAAACAAGGTATCACAAAATGAAGATTTAGCCCCTTTGCTACTTGTATCTTGTGATCTCTAAATTCTCAGTAAAAAAAATTCGATAATTATTATGAAATCATTATGTACGGATATTCAAGTACTACCGACAGTCGATGGAAATAATGACTCAGATAATTACATTGACGAAAACGGTGATTTCGAGTTTTTAATTTACTGATTTATTCGTATACAAAATGTCACCTTATTGTACATGACATACAACATATAACATACAACATATATGCCCAGATATATAATTTAAAAATAAATATTTTTAAAGATAATCGTGAAACGATACGATCTATGCACAATCAAATAATAAATGTTCGTTTATTTTAAATGTAAGAAGGTTATTACTATAACTAAGTTATATCTTTTAAAACAATAATTAATCGTTTTTTTCAAAATATGATTCTGAACACAATTTAGTATTTCAATTATTACTGTTATAATTATTATTTATTGAGTTGTTCAATCATGATGTTGTATATAACTTTTTAAATTCATATGTCGAGGAATGTTTAAGCTTTTAATTTAATTTTTCTTTCAATTTTTAAATTGATTTTTAATATTTAATTTTCAATATTTTTTGTCTCAATGATTTATGATAAAATACTTGTTATTAGTTATGCAGTGGAGCAGACGTCATCCATTAATAGCCCGATCGGCATCTCAGTAAACACATAATGTTGTCTTTTATTTTACATTTGTAATAATCAATAAATAAATATATATAGTTTTATGTATTACGTGTATTATAAAGTTATATTCTCATTTTTTCATCTATAGATCACTTTTATATAAACCCTTGATGTTTTAGTGTTTAAAGTTTTTATAATTTATCTTATCATATATTTTAAAAGATTTATTGAACATTTTTATACATTTTTAAAGCAAAAAACCGTAAAAGTAATTTAAGAGTGATGATTTTCAATATTTATTTAGAATATAAAAAAGAATAATATGGAAAATATAATATTATAATTAATTAGAGCCGGTGTTATCCTCAACATTTTTAGTCACTCTAAATAATTTTTCAATGAAAATATGTATATAAAGGGGTTTGTACAAAATAATACTTAAAATTAATGGGTAATACAGTTAATATTTTAATTTAATAAAAATAATTTAACTTATGATTGCAATGATGCTTTTTTTCATTATTTAAATTTATTTAAATCAGAATGTTGTTTAGTACTACTAGTTTATATTATTTATAAATAATATTCAGTCGATTATAAAAAACTATTTACTTTTATTTTAAAACTTTTATTATAAAAATTATAAAAAGTTATAAAACTTTTATTTTATTTTATTGCTGAGGTCAAATTATTTTTAAAAAAATAATTTAATTCTTAAATGCATTACTCTACAGAAAGATTTCAATAATTTCAATGATTGGTGCTATCTGATTGTTATATAAATGAAAATAGTATGGAAATTAATTTTACTTGATAGTTATTTATGGTTACAAAAATATATTTAATATACAGCGAATCTGATGGGACCAAGCGATTTATTTCATTATGGAGAGTTTTCGAAATATAGAAGGTTTAAAAAAACGCAACATTTTAATTATTTGTGTACAAACATGTTTACATATATATTGTTATTTATCTTCATTTTTACATTGCACGAGTTGTTAATTACACATTTATTATTTTATTACATTATATTATAATTATTGTATTAAATTATTATACGTATTTTATTTTCTATAATTATTTGAAGTAGTCTGTTACCTTTGTTTGAACTTGTTTATTCTACCAATATTATTTTATATTTTTCTATGAATTTATCCCATATTTTAGGACAACATTTTGGATTATCTTTATGAAACGATAAGTACTTTTCTAATAATTTAGCCGCATCAAGCACTTATTGAATACTTACGACTTTTATAATTTTTAATATAATAACATATAAATTGTATTATGATACATAAAATATTGTTTCGTTATTGAGAGTGACTAATACGCTATATAGAATAAATTGACTGATGAGTTATAAAGCAAACCAACCATTACTATGTCGATGGCGTAGCACACAAGTATGATAAGTGACATTTTTGTAATTGTTCATTAAAACGATTTTTTAGTTGTTGTAACAATTCAAAAATGTAACGAACTGTAATGAATATTTTGTTATATTTTCTTTAACATATAATGAATAATGAGGATTAAAAAACTTGCAATTACCACATTTTTATTCGTAAAAAAAAAAATTAAAAAAAAAATAAATATTGTACTTAACATATTTTGTACACGTAAGAAGTAATACTTAAAGATTTCACATTTTTCTTCTAATTTCAATAAAGAACCATAATTACTTGAATAATGTTATAAATTCGTTTGTGCATAATGTGTAGAATTTTATGATTAAATTGAATATGCACTTAACTCATTTTTCAAAAAAATGTCACTTATTACATTTGTGCATTACGCTATTGATGTAATGTTTACGTTATATAAAGTTTTTTGTTATAAAGCGTTTCGTTATAGAAAGTTTTTACTGCATTTAATTTATTATAATGAAGAAAAATGTATTTTACTACAACTTATATTAACTATTTATAGTTTTTATTGTTAATATATAAGATTATATGTATATATTACAGATTTTAACTATACACAGATTTTTTTAAATTATTTTTTGTCATTGATATATATAAATTTTAATGTGAAATACAATTGGTACAAATAATGCAATATAAATTACGAATGACCAAACTAAGACCAAATTGCTTAATTCATTTTAAAGTTTTTGAATGTAGGTATCAATATTAGTTTTAGTTTAAAATGTCGAATATATATTTACAATACATATAAATATGTATGTATAATAATAATAATAATAATAATGGTTTGTCTATAAATTCATGTATATATAAATGTTTTAATTTATTTTTGGGGTCACACAATACATAATCAAGCATTAATGATGTATGGTATACGGTAAAAATTTAATTTCTTTTTCACCGGATAATAATTATTTATTTTAAATATTACAGTAAAATTAATCAACTTTTTAAATTGTTCATGTTTTGTGAATGTATACATTTTTTTTATTTGTAGTAGGTACATGTTAATAAATAGTTTATTATTAATATGGAAATGAAACAAATTTTCACGTAAAAAAAAAATTCTTTCGAGTAGGTACATTATATTCTGTTAAAAAGTTGAAAAAAATTAGCTATTTGTAATAATTAATAAAATAAAATTTTTGAAAATACCTTATTATTTTATTATTATAATTTTTTTTTTCCAAACTATTTTAATCTGTTTACTGTAAACTGACATAAAAATATACTTGAGGGGTTTTAATGTTTTACCGTAAAGCGTGTTTTTAATGTATTTAGATAGGAATATTGGTCGGTATAAAAAATGACAAGAGTTACACATAGATTAACAAAATATACTATAATATTTTTCAATCGGAAACAATGATGGCCACAATAAGCCAGTTGTATAGACAATGAGGATAATAATTTACTGTATTTACAATGTTGTTCATAATAATTTAGTAGTAATAAATAGTCGATGTAAATAAATATTATTATTTCCGTGTAACGATACGCGGAGGATCCAATAAGCGTTTGTGTACGACCCAGCGTCCATGAGCTATCAGCTGTAACAGCTGTGCAACAGTCGCACCGACGTCGATTGACAGCGTCTGAAAACATACACGAATACATACAGATTAACCACTGTATAATTAGTCCGGCCATGACGTTGTTACGCGCAGTACCCGTCGTCGGACTATTTATTGCAACCACGTTTCGTATACCGTACCTATCTGACTTGGTTGGAACCGTAGGCCAACTGGTGGGCGTGTTCCTCGATGCTCCTGGCGTAATGGGCCGGGGGTGCACCGTAGATGCCGGCATCGTGGGTGGTCAAAGATGGTGGAGATTCGGCGGCCTTCTTGACCAACTGGAAGATGGCTAACCCAATGGATATGACGAACGAGAAGAAGGACAGTTGTAGGGCATTCCAGGCCTTCAAGCCCAACACACCGATTGCGAGCGGGATAAGGGTCAAAGCCTTGAGCATGACGAACACCATGATGGGCATCAGGATCTTCTTCAGCTTATGGCGTTTGCCTAAAACAAAGCGAACAATGAGATACTGTACTGGATAGGTGGGAAAGCTTTTCCGGTAAACTGCGGTACACGACGACCCAGTGAGTGGTGAACACGAGATGAGTTAGTTGAGTTTCACGAAATCGTTACCTATCAATCAAAACGTTTAACTCTATGTAATATGGTCTTGAGTGCATTGACATTTTTCCCGTTGTAGCCCGTTAAATGTGAAACGCTCCACATGGTCCAGGGCAACAAAGCGTTTCCCCACCCTCCACCTAGGACATAATATACATTACACAGTGGGTACTCACTTCTGGGTTCGGCAGAGCTGGGCAACTTCAGCGTGAGGCCCAATTCGTTTTCTTCCAAGTTTCTGGGTGACACGGTCACAGTAGCACCGCCGAGTTCCACGGACACGTCACGTTTTTCAATGAGCTCCTGAAGTTGTTCCGTGATCCCCAGATCGTTGTTGGTCACGTCCTTCGGTCGTATGAAATCACGGCGAGAAAATATTATTAACGCATACGAAAACGGTGAAAAAACGCGTTGTTTACCTGTTGCTTGTCGTTGTCGTTATTCAGCGGAGAGCTGAGCGCCGCGGCAGCTATCACGGTGACGGACAGGAACAAACACAAAAAACGAGCCATCGTGACGTGTGTGGTGCTGCAGTGGTGTACGTGTATGGCTGTGTGATACGATGGACTGCTGTGGTGTGTTTGATGTCTGATCGATCGTGTCCTATGGTTTTATAGGTGCTCTTTAGCGGTTTCGCAGTATATCGAACCGGGATGTTTGGCGGGGGACGAGCTCGTAGAAAATCTTCGTTTAATCACGTTTCCAACAGCTATCGGTGCGACTGAATATTAATCGCATGATACCTGTGTGTGTGTGTGTGTGTGTGTGTGTGTGTGTGTGTGTGTGTATGTGTGCACGTGCGTTTTTGGGTGTGGGTGTGTGTGTGCCAGTGAAATTGATAGGTCACTGTCACAACTGTTGAATATCCTATTATTTCTGTATGACATCCGACTGCCAAGTACCCACATACGCCGCGTGGTATACAAAGTGGTACACAACGCCTCGGACAACATGACGACAAAGTATAAAGAGCTAATTTGATTACACTTTTTAACCAAATTTTCAAATTCATCACTTAAGTAATTATCATTATGGTGTAAAATCGAATTTCCATGTCCAATATTAAACTTTTTTACACAAAATAACAATAAATAGCTTATAGACAATTATAATGAAACCTCTTTTTAGAGAACACTTTTTTGGTGATAATCGCATTGTCAGCAATTGTGATTGAGCTAAATCATTGGATAACATTTGAAAAATTAAACTATTCGTTGATAAAATAGAAAACGATTGAATGGACCTATTTAAATATTACAATACAGCTTACCATTTATTATTTATGAAATTTATAGAATTGATTTGTGTGTGCATTTTTTTTTTCTTTAATAGTTTTTACTTAAATTTAAATTATAGTTACAATTTAATTTTCATTAATAATTTATAATTTTAATGTATTCCTTTGAATTGTATTGTGCTAACATTAATTAAAATGTTCATTTTTACAAATTATATTCAATCACATTTTTAATATCTATATTATCTATGAACTATATTATATATTATGTCCAAATGAATGGTATATTTTAGATTTTGATTTCTTGTTTGGTTTTTATAATCATTAAAAAGAGTCTATTTAATGAGTGATTATATTGAATATATTACGGATTAATTTTTCTGGAAGTTTAAAAAAAGTTATGAGAAACATGATTAATTTTACCAAGAAAATGATGTAATTAACTCAATGAGAAAACTCCAATTTATTGTCATCTATTATAACAATAAAAACTAAAACTTCCCTTGCACTATCTAGCTTTGAATATGATTTGAAAAGTATACTTTTATGTTTTAATCTATCAATAGCGAAACATTTTTCTAAAATACGATTTAAAATGTTAGGGAATTTGTCCGGAAACAAGATTTTTTAGTATTCATAATGAGATTTTAATGTCAAACTTCTGTTTAAAACCGACATACCTAATTTCATGACAGTTCTTATGTTTATATAAAATAATACCTTTTGTGATAATTTTTTTTCAGTATTTTACATAGCATATGCTTCGAATGTTCAATTGAACAAAATAGAAGACATCTTCTTTTTTTGTAGATATTATCATTTAGTAACTACTGAGATAAGAAAGGGGAAACAATTTTTTTTGTTTCCGAATGCAAACTAATTTTTACAGAGCATGATTGTATACTAATACAATTTATGGCTACCATAGAATACGCACAAAACTGTTAGTGATTCAAATATTATTTTTTTATGAATCCTCTAAGAAAAACTTATTTATAAATATAAAAATTAACCCAATTATTGTTTTATACTAAAATTAATGGGGATTTGTTTGATGAAATATGATGCATTTATAGGTAATATATATTCTGAGTATTTTTAACAAGTACAATGTATATGTTATTTATACGGTTATTATATTGTATATAATTAAAAGAAGCCGAGTTCATTTAAATCGGTGTTTTGGGGGCTCCATTAGTATGCAATGATTTTTATATTGGAAATTTAAAGGAACAATATATTTTATGGTGCTCATCAGTATGTATGTTCTACAATTTCCATTCACTGTGTTACTTACTTAATTTAATCGTCATTTCTTTTCGGTAGAAAGTATTAAACTACATATAATCTATGAAATGTTCATTGATGACATATTCATCATATTAATTAAGTAACCATTGATTGTTGGACGAAAAAATGAAAATAGATAAATATTTATAAACACTTGATTAATTTATTATAAATCAGGATGACAATTCATGTATTTACACATTAATTGAAGAGTATACTTTATATTTTAAGTTTGTAACTAATGCCTATGGTTTTAGACGTGCAATTTAAATACACGTGTAATTAATATATACAAGTACGTAGAGTTATAAATACACAAGTATTTAAAACGTAATTTCATTTTCATTGTAAATTTCAACTTGAGTTAACGCATTTAGTATTTTTACAATTATTCTTGTATTTGAGTTCTTATAATTTAAATACACGAAAAATTAAAAATAAAACTAAAATTTACAAGAGGATTTTATTATTTTCAAAAAGAGCGTGCGTTGAATCGTTTTCTTTTTTTTAACATAACATGTATTTCAATTATCTGAGAACTCAAATATAAGTATAAATGAACAAATATGTTAACCCAAATTCAAATTAATAATAAAAATATATTTTTTTAAATACACGTGTATTTGTAATTACACGTGTAATAGGAACCTTTATTTTCAACTAAACAATTATTATATTTCCGTGCAATTTATTTTACTTTATATGTATTTCCGTGAATAAATAAAATAAAAAAAATAAATAAAAATTGTATGTATAATTTTACTAATTTATAGATTAGATGTATATTTTTTATACAAATTCTATTGTAGTAGCGTAGCATAAAATTATATTAGATTTGAACTGACTTTTAATCAAATTATTAAGTTGCCTGCTGGTTTGGTATATACATTCATAATTGACACTTACTTAATATTAATTTAATTTTTATTTTGACCACCAAGTCTAAAATAAAGAGTTGATATTTATTGGTTTATAAATGTAATAAAAATAATTTAGTTTGATCAATAAAATTTAAGAGTTTTTTTTTTCTAATTCTTTCTTCAAACAGAAGAAGTTAAGAATATTGAGAATATTCAAAATTTACGATAATCTTTAAATGTTTTAACTGAAAAGTTATGGCTGGAATCTTTTGATGCAGATTTTCTATTCGAATGTTTGATCATAAAAATTTAAAAACATTATTGTAAAAGCATGTCATGAATATATTACACATGGAGTCCAATTGAATGCATCGGTGTAATAACCAGTTATTTCCAATTTTATAAATTTTCAGGAAATAAAAAATAATTTTTTTTTACCAATACATTTTTAGAAAATATGCAAATATGTAAATATTTTTTTGTGATTCAATGGATTGAGAAAAATATATAAAATAAGAGTTGTTTAAATATTTTATTTTATATTTCAATTATTTTAGCATTTGTCAAAATGCTAACTTTTAGTCTGTGTATAAACAATTTACGTCATAATTGTAACTGGTTATTGCACTGAATTTCGAAAAATAAATTTTTATTGTAACTTTATTGTTTTACATATACTAAGAATAATATATATTTTATTATTCTGAAATAAAAAATAAATTTTATTAGTTAGCTACAGTGTCAAAATTTACTTAAAACATTCAATATATTTATAACAAAACAATAAATTAATACCTTTTAATATAATTTTGAAATTGTCTTTTTTATATAATTTATAGGGATTAAGACTAAAATTATTAATATTTGAATAATATTTTTATATTTAGTAAATACTTTTAAAAAAGTTAATTTTTGTATTATTATTATCAAAATTATTTTTAACCACCATTCTGCTGAAAATGTTGACTTTTTAACCTAATATCTTCAGTAAACTCATGGTTTTTTAATATTTTTTAGATTACAGGAAAGTAGTATATTAAATATCATAGTGGTTTTATATTGTCTTCTCTTGTTTATTTCATTCATACCATCGATCGGTTGATATTTTAAAAATAGAATATTCGTTACGAGCTCTTTAATTTTTTACGTATTTCTAAAAATATCAGGATATATATAGTTCGAACACGGTATAAATATTTATCCCGGATATTTTTTTTAAATTATTTAGAGTGAAACTGTTCTTAAAATAGGTAAATATGTATTATACTCAAATCTCGTTGATAAAAATATATAATAAAACTAAAAACGAAGAATAAATTATAAGCATAATTTTATCGAATACTATGAACAAATTTTGTTTAAAATAAAATCCTATGGTGTTTTATTTATCGTTTTATATATTTAATTACTTTTAATAGCAGATATTGCAATTAAAACTGTTATACTCATTCGATAATTATTAGTGACAATACGGATTGTTTGCAAGTCTGCATGTTTGCCAGTGATCACTAATTAAACTTGAAAATGTAGCACTGTTGGCTTATTCTTTTTTTATTTGTTGATAATCGGAACATTCATTCAATCAATAATTTATTTACAATCAAACTTACATTTATAAAATACATACAATTAAAATCTAAAAAATTAACAACATTTAATATTTTGAAGTGACCCATAAGTTAGTGGATTATATTAAGAACCGAAAATACGTACTTATACTGTACAATGAACAGTGGTGCTGATCCCTATGCGTAGGTATTGTGGATGCAATACCTAATTTGGGTGGGTGGTCCCGTGGTGTACAGGGGTACACTGGTAAAAAGATGCTCAAGTTATAGCAGTTGAGATTTTGGATTTAAAACTTTTTCAAAATTACAGTTATAACTAAATATACTCAGCATTTAAGGTAGTTATACTCAAGATTTAATTTATATGAAATACCATATGAAACAGATATCGGTGCAATTGACAACGAATACTATATTCAATGAATATACGTTTACCACAAAACAGGAATAATACTAATTTATTAATTGATAGTAATTGTTATGAAATTTAAAAAATAGTATCAAAGAATTTCAAATTATAAATTGCAATGGTTTTATAAACACATGTTTAACATAAGATAATTAATACATTTTTTTCTCCTGTCGAAACGATTGTTGGAGGTTTTTGTTGATATATTTTTCACTTGGGATGGTAAAGTGGAGTGTAAATAATTATATAAATTAATTTCCGAATTAAACATGACTTATAGCAGTGATGTCCAATCTTTTTGATTGGCCACTTTGATAAAAAATTATCTTAGTCACCAAATAGGCCAATAATTATAAATGTACAAATAATATTAACGTTAATCTAATAATGTATATGTTGTTACACATTGTAGTTATACAATAATACATGTAGGTATTCATTGAATTTTTTTTAAAAATATTTTATAGACTACAAAAAAGATTATAGATTGAGGTACACGCTGTAGGTATACATTAATTTGATCAGTGCATTCTTTTAAGTGAATGGGTTATAATCGTGAAATTTCTATTTGAAAAAGTTCGAATAAATTAAATTAATAAATTTAAAAAAAAATTGTATTTTATAGTAATTTTACTTTTTTATTTAATATTTCGTTTTATTTAAAAAAAAAAATTGTAATAGGCCCCATTGAATACCTTCACGGACCACATGTAACCTGCGGGCCTTGGGATGGGCACTACTGACTTATCGGATCATAACACACAGCTATAGGCATAAAAGTAAAAACACGAACTAGGTGGAACACTAGTCTTGGAATATAAATATATTTAAAACATGTTTTGCAGTTGTGAAATAATTCTATTTTTTAAGTGTCTATTCTTTGTGAGAGACTTAAGTACATAAATAATTATCGATTGTTCTAAGAGAAAATATAGAAAGAGCTCGACGGAAGTTCTGAAATTGAATTATTAATTGATGAACATAGAGTTAGGGCCAATTTCGATTGTGCAGTTGTGAATATTGATCAGCAAAAATGTGACATCGTCATATTATCACGATTGCCATACATACCTACGAGTAAATTTTAGCTTTATCGTGTAACCCAAAATAATAAATCTACTAAGCGAATAACAATAGATTTTCCTTTTTCGCAAACAATTATCATCCTCTATTCTGTTGGTTTGTAGTTGATTTTAAAATTTTAATTTTGAATAAATTGTATTTTTTCTAACTAGATCATGATAATAGTTATAATATTTATGATTAATACTGTTAAGAAGTATTTTCCGTTCAATTTATATTACACTTTCATTATTAGTTTTTATTGGTAATTTGCCAAATATTTGTCTATTTTTTATTGACTCAACGTCAAATATGTAAGATTTTATTCACGCATTCAACTATTTTTTAGATTCATTATTTTTTTATTATTTTAAATCTATACTTAATTTTATCACTTTTAGATTGTATTTACTATTTAATTAATAAAACAAAATTAAAACTGTAAATAAATATTGTTTTTGATTTTCTCTAAATATCTTCTATTATACGTCATGAGGTGTACTATTAAATAATCTATAATTTTTAAATACACATGGTTATAAATCAATTATTTGAAAATCCGAAAAAATCTTATTCCTGTATACGTTGTACTGATTCTTAATAAATCTTAGTTAATTTTAATGATAATTGCTTTTTATTTTAATGTTAACACACACACACACACACATGTATATATAAATTATATATTTAAGAGTTTAAAAAATTGCTTATTAATTAAAATTTTTAGTATTTACAATAGTCCAATAATTCATATTTTAATTGCTGTTTCGATTTCACTGTTATCTTATAAAACATAACAATATAATGGCGTGTGATCTATAAACATCAACTACAGTAATATAAATAAACTTTATTATAAAAATTACTTTTCTATTATTTCCTATGCAATTTACTAGTAACTTGGTCATATCGAATTATAAGAAATCGTGCTCATGATCTAAGCTTTTGGTTAACTTTAATTCAGTTCTAACAGATCTGTTTTGCTGATTAAAAAAAAAAAAATTAAAACATTTCGTACAACTAACTAATAGAGACTACTAAAGAATACTTCTTTATGTCTTTATACCATTCGATGGTTAGTTCGTATATTTAAATATTTGAGTACTATATTTTATCTATTAAAACGTTATATTAAGCTTCGTTCGCATTATTCGTTTTGCCAATCGTTTTATCTTCGTCATCAAAACCCATATGACTATTAATATGAATTATTTGACCGCGTTAATAATAAAAAGTAAAACGGCAAAAGTTATGGTTACCTACTACGGAACATTGCAAAGATCGCAATGACACATAATTGGGCAATGAATTGCACAAATATTGATTGTTGAAAATTGAAAAAAAGCCTTTTGCTGAGCACCACTGCGAAACGTGTCCAAATGCGCTTTAATATAATGCCGGATTCACGTCTGGTGGTATGTTTTCTTATTTTTATCGGTGCTTCCGGCCTTCGCAGTTCCGATAGTGGCTGAAGTAAAACGCCGGTCACGCATGTGTTCAGTCCAACGGTTGTTGCGCACAACAGTGTTAGTTTTCGAATTATGCATTTCGTGCCAAATTAATAGATTTTAAATGAGCTCTAAAAAATTTAATGAGAGATTTTTGTTTCTATTTCAATTTAATCAAAATCTTATACATGTTGTACTTATACACGGAATTTTAATTTGATTGGAAGTTCACCAGATGAAATAAATCACGTTTAACCATGAATACTTGATAGGTCTGTAACGATTTATAAATATAATGGTTGTGCAAACTTCAAATAGGACACACTGTATAAATAATTTGTGTACGATTCAAATGAGATGTTCAGCACATTTTTGAGGAAATAATAAACACATAACTTAATGTATATATAATTTTTCCTTTCTTTCACCCTGAAAATCGAGTGACGGTGATGCATTCTAAAATGTATTAATAAACTTGCTCCATTCATTTAGCTTACACATCCATACTAAATGTTTTTATAATATTGGCATAATGTTTGATATTCATTTTAAGAAATCCGTTTTATAATATACACGTGCATGAAATTATGTTCATAGAGTATAAAAATGATTAGGTTGATTTTTTATTTTCTATATAAATATAAATTTATTATGATAACGGTTTTTCGAATTTAATTACAGCTAATTATAAAACCCTTAAAAATCAATAGACATTAAATAAAGAAGAAATACATATACTAAGTTATTATTATATACATCAATAACTGTACACAGATATCAATAAATGAGTTTTCTTTATAATATCAACTGTCGTAAACTCTTTGGATTAAAAAGCGATGAGAATTAGACATTTGATGATGGTATTTCATTTTTTCTTCATCAATCTTGCGGAGAAATATTGTTTTACTATTATTTTAATTTATAGATTTGAAAGAGCTGTAATATATTGATACGTATATTTATTTGTTATTATGTTATTTTTTTATTTTAAATATTTATAATTTAAAATTATGAATAATAATTTAATCCACCATTAAATTTCTAGCTCCGAATAACAAATCAAATTCATAATAATAGATCGTATTGAACTAAAAATCTTAAGTGAAATTATGTCTATAATTTATTTATAATTATGAATTCTTAATTGATTTCAAATTAATCATGAGATTAACATACTCGTAAGTGAATACTGTACTAGTAATTTAATACATTACTAAAGAACTCAATATTACTTTTTTATATTTATTGTTCGTGTTAAATTTTCAATCGGTTAAAATAATTTTAAAATAATTTTTATTTTATTTTTCATACAACTAATTCCTGCAAACATCACACTTCGTCATGAATCAAAGATACAATTATTGTCAATGATATAATCATAATTATCAGTCATTGTTGTTTTTTTTTTAATTTTTTAATTTTTTTTTTTTTTTTAAACACGCTCTTTAATAGGTTTTTTACTCAGGACTAATTGGTAGAAAAATAATTTCAATGTAAAACTCAATTGTACAGAAAAATTAAAAAAATTTAATAATTGTATTTTTTTCGTTCGGTAAATAAATAAATAAATAATTAAATTAATAACAACAGAAAACTAGTCGTACAATAAAATACGCGTCGTTTCTGATCGCGACGTTTACAAAACTAATCACGTTCACCGGTCACTGTTCGGGCTGTTGCGCACTGTACGCCCTAGCGTGTGCGTATCCGTCGTGATGGTGCGCGTAACCGGGTGATGGGTAGTGCAGGATTTCCACTCCGACCACCTTGGGCTTGGTGAACCTGTAGATGACCATGGCGGCGGATAAGACGAGTGACAGTAGACCTAACGTCAACGCTTTCCACGTTTTCAGGGCGATTATGGCGATGGCGACGGGAATCAAGACGGTCGTCTTGAACTTCAATCCCAGGAGGAACGGAATGACTATTTTACGGACAAATCCGCGACCTAAAAAAAAAAAATTCAAAGAAAAGTTTGGATTAGACATTTTCGACATGGATACGCGCGCACGTAATAATATACGATTTGCGCAAACACACGTATAACACTCGTGCGGTATGTACTGTAAAAGAATTACGTTTTCCGATTCGCGTCTTACTTCGTCCTTGCTGAACGACTTGGGTGTCTTGGTCGGTCAACGGCACGTTGATCCGTTGGACGGTGGACCCTAGCTCTTCCGGCAGGTTCACCTGGAGCTGGTGGGTGCTCAGGAAATCGTCGATCCTGTCCAACATGCGGAGCGCGGAGTTCTCCCTGATGGCGTCTTTGTAGTCGCCGCCGTTGGGGATCTGCGACGCGGACAACGAGATGAATACAACAAACAATAAATAAACAACGGAAACCGGGGACCCAAAGGGCCGCGATCTAGACGCTCACCGAGTTGGCCACTTCTTCTTCGCCTTCGCTGACACGGCTACGTTTCAGGGACAGGTCCCGGGTCAACTTGAGCTCGTCGCTTTTCGCGGTCTCGCTCAGGTACCGGAGCACTTTGGGTTTGGTGCACGACCAGTCGGCTCCGCAGTCCTCGAACAGTTTGACGCCGAACTCGAGTACGGTCTCGGTGGCCTGATGACGAAAACAACACACACACACACACACGTATAAGTATACCGTACACACTATACATAGGTGTACGGTGTATTATGTACAGGAGTGATCCGCCCGGTAGGACTTACCTGCACGTGGTGGACGGCCGACAGAGCGGCGGCGCAACAGGTGACGGCGACGAACACGGACAGACGATACATGATGGTGGTGGCCGCCCGGTGGGATGATGAATGAACGTTGTGGTCACACGCGCCCGAGCTTATAACGCCGCGCAGCGGACGGCGGCCGATCGCATCCTGAATGCCTAATCGGCGATCGGCCCCTGGGGAGAGAGAGACACCTAGTTGTCGCGCGCATCCTTTCTACTTTCTTCGCGCGGACATATCGTTTTCAGATCACGTGCCGACGCGCCATCGATCCTTTTTAGCGCGGTGTATCGATTGTCCGGCGCGCGGGGTCGTGCGTTCGAAAACGGCCGCCCCGGCACCACGCGGATGCACAACGCGCGAAATCGGTTCCGGCACAGCGCGTGCGTACGATAAGGATACGGTGCACGGCCGTGTTCTCGACGGAAAACCGTTCGGAACCGTCGATAGGGAAAACGACCGCGAACGACCGGATAAGATGTCCGACGACGATAACAGCGGTGCTTTATCATAAACGGTTTTAGTTTTCCGTGACAATAACGGGTTTGTTCGTGAACAAATCAATTAAATAAATTTTATACGTAAATACATCTATATTACAACTTGACTAAGTGAACTGTCCACCAAAAGCTAAAGGTTACCGTCGTACACAGTATCGATACGATAACCTAAAGTCCGAAACATGATCTAAGTGCACATAATCCACGCTAGTTGGATATAGTGGACACTTAACATTTAGAACCATGATTTTGTAAATTAACCGACTACTTTTTACGTTACCCATTAATTGATAGATGAAGGAACCTAGTAGAAAAAATGTGCAAAATCTGATATTATATAATTATATTTTCAACGGCACTAAATGTAAGATTTGAAATTACTTATGGTGCTATTTTTATGATGTGTAAACCGTACAAAGATGATATGGAATTTAGAAATCTTAAAAATGTAGTCGGGTGAAAAATGCCACAATATCTAAATATCGGCCCCGATGGCATACAGGGGGAGATTTGGATGGTGGATTTTACACAAAAATATATATATATATATATATATGTTAGAATTTTATATTGTAATGAAGCTTCCTTACGGTTTGGCAGCCTAATTTCGACTCCATCCTAAATGTTCAAAAGATGTCCTGCCAAAGTCCGATCTCAATTTAGGGTTCGATGCCACTGTCGTATAGTATCTGCAGGAGCATATTTTGGGGGTAAAGACTATGGTAAATGCCCCACTCTAAGAAATTTTAAAAGGTCGGAAATTCTTTGTTCGATGATCAAATGCTAAAATCCGTAAAAAGTAAATCTTTATTTACTAATCTGTACTCAGAAATCAGATAATATTCTCTTAAAAGATTTAAAAATACACGTTTACGGTTTATTAAAAGTTGGGAAACACTGGCTCCCCGGTTTATGACAATCGTTATTAAGTGAACCTTTTTTTTTTATAGAACTTTTAGTAAAACTATGATGGTTCGACAATTATAATATATATACACACAATATTATATAACATATTATAGGTAATGATTAAAAATAATGAAATGAAAATATACGGAATGTTGTACAGATAAGAATATTAAATCGTAATTAGTGAATATATACAAAAATAGTAAGCGAACTTTATAAAATTAATTTTTGGTATATTATATATTTCTATATATGTGATCTTTATAAAACACTTTTTGTGATATTCATACCATAAAATTTGAGCTCTTAATCTATAAAAAAATCATTAAAATCGTTCTCATTCACCCCAAACTACGGTACATTATATTTGAGATACAATTTTATGTTTTTATAAATACGTTTTGTAAAGTATTAAATATACAAATAATAAAATTATAAGTATTTATTTAATTAGATTTATATTATTATTCCATTAAACATATTGATAGGTAATTTATAGCCTATAGGATAAGTAAATATTTTACTATCTTTAATTGAAACTTTTCATGTTCTTTGTTTATCATCAGACATCATTATTCATTACTAATCCTTACATGTTTTGTTCCGAAAAATTATTTTATTGGTAGCCTATCGTCCATAAATATTTAATATTTAAATATATAGGTAACTATAATTTTTTAAATATTATGAAGTCAGCAAATTTAATAAATTGCCCCATCCTTTCTAAAATTGAAATTACGTCTCTGAGTATCTGCACCATTATAATATATGTGTTATATTATTATTAATATTTTTATTGTTGTATTATTACTACGCAGGTAGCACAACCGCATAAATATTTTTAAAGCTGTTTACGAAATCAGCGGCTCAAGAATAATATTAGATAATAATACCAGAGAACTTTAATTCAATATCGAATAACACTCACGTAGGCAGTGGCATACTCACGGGGGGGGGGGGGGGGGGGGGGGGGGGGGGTTCATGGGGTTTGAACCCCCTCCATTGGCCGTATTTTTTTAAAATTATTCCAATAGTTTAATAATAATTGATTATTGATTTTATTGATCATAATTTAGTGGTTTTTACGTCATTAGTTACCAGTATCACGGTTATCAAGTTGGATTGGAGCACAACCATAGAACATGTTCTATGACACGACCACGCTATCAATTTAACAATTTGGTGACAATTTGTGATAATGTGGTTTTTTAAAACAGTACAAAATTTGTAGTTATTATGATAATGAGGGGTGTGGGGGGCAGAGCCCCCTACTTTTGTATTCTAGTAAATTTTCAGAGCTTCCCTCCCATTGAAAATTCCTGAGAACGCCACTGTACGTAGGTACAATATAGTTTAGAAAAGTGCGTATACTGAATAGAAAAAAAAACTGATATTGTAAACAAATTTCTAACTAAAATTTAATTATACTTATGAATAGGTTTACATAATATTATCAGGCAATCAGGTTAAAGTTACTATTTCTTATGGTCCGTTTTTCTTTTTGGACATTTCACACTGTATTTTCCTAGCCACACCCTTTAGCCGGGTCTGGACTTGAGGGCGTGTCATTATTAAATATGGGGTATCCGCCCCTATACGTATAATAATATGACCTCGAGACCCATTTTAGCAACCACAAAATAAGTTTGGCGCTAGGGAAACAAAATTTTATATGGTCATAAACCACGACGGTTGCATTATAATTTCCCGAAAATTTAATCGGAGATTTCCATCCGTCAAAACCTTTTTTAAGCATCCCAACACGATTATATCATGCTATACTATGTTAATCTTATTTTATAATAGGTACAATAATAGGATATTTATGCAGCTCGCTGAGTGATACAAGTTATAATTATTATATTTTTTTTTTTTTGATATACCGTATCAATGTTCACGTGTTAAAAACGCTATGTTTCTGTACGAAACAATTTATAATGATATGGATTTATGCACTTACGATTCCAAGAAGCGAAATGAAGTATATTTCTATAGTTTTATTTTTACTTTTCCATAATCAAACTGTTGATTAGCAAGTTTGCATTAAAATTTTCATATGATATATACGAGTTTATATAACTCAAAAGTAAAAAAAATTATGAAGATAAAATGATAATTAGAAACATAAGTTCAAATAAATGTATGTCGACAAAGGAGTTTACGTTACAAAAAGTAAATACCGTAAACTACATTTACGATTTATTTAAATAAATGTCTAACTGATAAATTTTATTTTATAAGACTTATATAATTTTTCAAATAATATAGTTGAATATTTCAGAACTGCTAACAAAATTCCGAATTACGTATAAGGATTTTCATAATATTTATATTTTGTTTATATTTTAATTATAATTCACGGAACCAGTGGCGATTCATAAGGTTCACATTAGGTGAAAACTACAAAATAATGCTACTTACTACTTACAAATCATTTGTAAGATACCTATGTAGGTGGGTAAAAGAATATTAATTTTACTATAGGTATGGGTACATTAACGTACTGATCAACATACAATTTTCTCAAGCTTCCTAAGCTCTTCGTTTCGGTAAAATAAAATAAATTGGAAAATAATTACTTAATTTGTGTAAGTGATAAACACAAAATCATGTTTTCACGATCGACGTGAAACGCGAAACGATAAAAAATAGTCCGGTGCACACATCGATTGTGTTCCAAACGTCCATGTATTACTAATCAACATTACTAGCTAACTTTTGTATGGCTGCCCGGAGAGCAACAAACATGTGCTCCGTTAATTATTTAATTACTAATAGACACACTACTCAACACGAAAAGTTGCGAAAACTTTTTTTTTTTTAAACAAATATTTTTGTTAATTACAGATTATGTACATAGAAACCGATTATAATTTACTATAGGAAGCTAATATTTTCTTATATAATATGTTTGGGTGGTTCACGTGCTGTTGTGCACTATAGCACGGGCTACCACTGCACAAAATATTTAATCATTGCTTCAATATAATTAATGTTATTAACGCATGATATTTAAATATTATTGTTTTCAATGTAAAATTTTGTCAGATGCTGTTTGACTTTAATTATTTAATCAATCAAACTTCGATATAGTTATGTATTGATTAAGATTAACGCACTATATGGTACTCGAATAACCAAAATTAATAAAATACCAAGTTTAACTGTAATAATGTAAATTTTTAATTGTAGGAACATCGGTCAATTTATAATAATATAATACTGTTTAATGCTATTAAAACAAGAAAAATGATTCGAAGATTAAGCGTACAGCATAGCGTATATTTTAAATATACAAAATTATAATTAATTTCACCCAAGCCAAGGTTAATGTTTCAGTTAATCTCTGAAATATTTCATCAATCAAAATATTTTTTTATAAAAAGTATTCCGGATACTGGTGTTGTATGGAATGATATACGCATCATTGTTATATGTATTTTATTTTTTAAATTTAATAATAATGATAAATAATTACATTCGAAAAACAATTTTGAACGAATTCCTATAGATAATATTGAAATATATTAGATTGTATATAGAATAATTAAATCAACTTTTTATTTCTATCATAAATCAACTTTGTGCAAATAATGTAATTAACATAATGAATAAGACTCAGTGTTAAGAGTCAGTATTTCTACACATTTTTATTGGCGTGTTTAACACATTTGTTGGCTATTCG